TTGTAATTTTTTTTTTTTTTTTTTTTTTTTTTTTTTTTTTTTTTTAAGTTTTTGCTATAGGGTTTGTGTGCTTGCTAGAGACAATGAAGAAAAAAATTACCCCCTAGGGGGATGACCACACTGCAATTCCTTCTTCTCCTAGGATTTTGGGCCCACACACTAATAATGTGCTTGGTGTGATTTTCTAGCTGCCAGAGCCAGGACTCAAACCTTGGTTGGCCATGTGGGAGTCTAGTGCCTTAACCATCATGTTGCCTGGTGGCCCACTGATTAACTTTAATTCATTTCAGTTATTATTCTTTTTGATGTTCAGATTGTTCCATTTTGGTCAATGTAATCCCTTTGTGTTGGCTCCTGAGTTCTTTTAGTGCAACCCAAGCTTCTTTCCTTTTTTGGGGGCGAATATTTTTGCTATAGAGTGCATGCACTTGTAGAGATAGAGAGACAGGAAGCAAGAGTTCACCTCCCCCAGGGGGTATGGTCACACCACAGTCCCTCCTCCTCCATTCTCCTTGGGATTTGGGGCATGCACGCACATGTGCCCAATGTGAGTTTTAAGCTGCCAGGTCCAGGACTTGAACCATGGTTGGCCACATGGGAGTTCAGCAACATAATCATTATGCCATCTTCCGGTCCCTCTCTCCTTTCTTAAACTACGTGCCCCCAGGCTCTTTTTCTCATCCTGTGCTATAGTAGAATTATTGTCAACTATTTCTCCAAAGAGCCTAATTTCTCTGTGGGAAATGGTATTTGAATGCCAGAGTCTGGAAATTGGAGTGCTCTTTGTTATTACTTATAATCCTTTTCAGAGGACAAAGCTAGGAAAAAGTAAATTTTAGAGAGTAATTAATCATAAATTCATACTAATATTTCCAATTCAAATTTGACTTTAGAGTTTTTGTAATGCTTTTTTATTCTGAAAAATAATTGTTTTCTAATGGTATTAACATCTTTTTTTTGTTATGTTTTACTTATGCTTATCCTCTCTCTCCTTATTTCAAAATTATGATACTAGTATTGCTAGTGACATCTAAAAATAGTTGGAATTTTTTTTGGTGGATCTTTTTTTTTTGGAGAGGTTTTTTTGCTATAGGGCGTGTGTGCTTGCCAGAAAGACAGAGACAGAGAGACAGAAAGCAAGAAATCTCCCCACAGGGGGGGATAGCCACATCGCAATCCCTTTTCCTTCATTCTCCTCTCGGGATCCTGGGCACCCACGCACACGCGCCCGGTGAGTTTAAGCCACCGGGTCCGGGACTTGAACCGTGGTTGACTACATGGAAGTCCAGCGACATAGTCATTATGCTAACTGCTGGTCCCGGTGGATCTTTTTGAGACATTTAAATTTTTTTAAAAAAAGGAATTATTTATTTAATTACATTAGTTATTTTTTAATTTGATTAGAGAGAGACAGAAAAAGGGAGAGTGAGAAAGTAAGCTGCAAGGTCCGGGACTCAAAACCATGGTCAGCCCTGTGGGAATCCATACCTGCTGTATGGCCTTCCCCTGCTCTCCTTCCACAGGGTAATTTCTCACTTTTCCTTCTTACTGTCTCTCTTTGATAAGTGCACTTGCACTATAGAAATAATTTTAAAAACAAAAACTTACTAGTTTAAAGCTAAAATAAAATATTGAGATTGATCTTTGATTTATAGTGTTATTATTAGTACATTTGTTACTGCATTTCTGAGTAAAACAAGATCCTATATTTTAGATTTCTTCAAAAATTATGGACAAAGTTGGTAATTTTGTTGTTGTTGTTGTTGATTTAGGATAGCACACCTAAAAATGTAAGAATTATTAGTTTCTTAGGCTGCATTGTTAGTAATATGGTTCCTATAATATCACCAAGGAAGGAATTGTGAATGATACTGAAATGAAATCAAATGCTTTCTGAACTTAGGATTTTCGTTGATCTCTTAGTTTCCTTAGTAACTAACTGGGCATATAGATAGAAGTTCAGTATTAGTTATTTTGCAAATAAACAATTACCTATATTTTAAAAGAATCCCATGAGATAAGTTATTTTATTCCTGTTTTACAACTGAGCCATTGAGAGTCTAACGCCTAAAGATTGGAAATGTTGAAGTCAGGATTTAAAACCTTATTTGTAAAGCCTTTCTACTGTGTACCTTTGCCTGTCTCACTAAAAAGAATGCATTGTTTCTCTACCTTTGCCCTTTTTGCTGGACGATTCGAGAGAGGGAGTAACTTGTTCGATCCATGGTGGATGGCAGAGTTTATAAATGTCAAAAACTAGAATTAAAATGCATTTTTATTATTATTCATGTTTATTTTTACCTTTGATACTTATGGGTAGCAGTAATGAATTTTTCTGAATGAAAACATATTTTGAAGGAATACTGAGTAACTTTTACATGTGTAACCTTATGTTCTAGGAGCTTTCTCTCTTTAAATTCATATTCTTGGCTTTACAAACCTGATTTTATATATTTTTTTAAATTTTCTTTTTATAGCAGATTCAGAACTAGACTGAAGTAGTTTCTAGTTAATGGTCCTGATTTTGAAATGCTGTTTTGTAAAATCTGTCCTTTTTATTATTGCCTCAATTAGATAGAATTCTATCTTTGTTCAAAGACAAAGTGTAAGGAACAACAGTAGATTTACAGATACTTAAAAGAATAAAATTTCAGCCTTTTATTAGGGTCACGTTTATCAGAAGTATTTACAATTTTTGACATCTAGTTTGGTTATTTATTTATTTATTTTGTGATTACAAGAGGATGCATGTGCTTGCCAGAAAGAGAGAGGGTGAGAGGAAGCAGCCCCCAGTGGGGCATGGTCACACTGCTGTTTCTACTTTCCCATTTCTCCATCCTGTTAAGATTTGGGGCATGCATATTCATATGTCTGGCATGTTTCTAATTCAGACCATGTGAACATTTGAGTAACTTGTACATACATTTACTTCACAAATAAGATATTTGTCTAGATTTGTAACTTCAATGTAATTGGTCATTTTTAGCTTTAGTAATTCTAATGGTATTTATATTGCTTGTAAAAATATAAATTTTATGGGCCAGCCCTATGGCCTGGTGGTTAAAGGAACCAGATCCTAAATGACCAACTGAATTGTTTGAATTTCTGACCCTGTTGACTTGAAAACAAGCTTGGCAAGTATGCATGTGTGCCCCAAATCCTACAGGAGGAAGAAATGGAGAAGGGATTGTGGTGTGACCACAGTCCACTAAGGTGTTCTTTCTTTCTCTGTCTTTCTCTGGAGAGCACATGACCTCTCCCCCCTTTTTAAAAGTTTATACACACACACACACACACACACTCACACACACAATATACTATACTATCAATATACATAGTATAGATATTTAGAGTCTATATATATATATTATAAATACATTCATAAATTTTCGTTTTGGTCATCGTGAACATAAATCATTTTAAAGATATCATAGGTGGGCCTAGCAAGCAAAAGACTGACCTAGCAGTATGGATGGCAGAATACTTCAACTTACCTGGTTGAGAAGTATACAGAAATGTAAGTCAGAGAAAGAATTAGCAGGTAGGTATTATAATTAGAAGGGTTTTATTGTTACTAGGATGAAGCTTATAATGGTGTATAAATATATTAGTCTAGGCAATATACTTAGAGTTCAGGCATTGATTGATTGATTGAGGTTTTTGCCTTGGGATGTGTGCACTCGCCGGAGAGACACAAGACAGACAGTGAGAGGGAAGATGAGAAATTACCTCCCAGGAGGGATGGCCACACCACAATCCCTTCTCTATTCTCCTCCATGGGAACAGCATGCACAAACGCCTGGCATGAGTTTCAAGCCATGGAATGTAGGACTGCAGTCATGTTGGAGTCCAGCAATATAACCACTATGTCATCTGCTGGCCCCGAGTTCAGGTTTTTAGGGATATTTTTTCTTTATAAATGTCGTATCTCATATCCACTGGTAGAAAGAAGTGAAACTTTTTTTCAGTTATTTTTGCTATAGGGTGCATGTACTTGCCAGAGGGATAGATAGGCAGAAATACTGTGTTTTCCTCCCTACCCCCGCCAGGGATATGGCCACACCACAGTCCTTTCCCCTTCCATGCTCTTGGGATTTTGGGCGTGCATGCACATGCACCTGGTGTGAGTTTCAAGCTACTGGGTCCGAGACTCAAACCACGGTTGATCATATGGGAATCCAGCGCCTTGACCACTATGCTACCTGTTGGTCCCCAAAGTGAAACTTCAAGGCTGTTTTTTTTTTTTTTTTTTTTTTTTTTTTTTTTTTTTTTTTTTAAAAAACATTTCTGATAGACATTATAGTCCTGGAGAATATTAAAATAGAAATTTCTCTTTATGGTATAAAAATTGACATTTTGTATGACCTTCAGTGCTGTCTTAACTTACTATTTTTTTTTTTTTCATGAGATGGAGAAAGAGTAAGTTAGACTGTCTATAAACATAATGGGCACTTCAAATAGGCATAAAGAAGATTACGAAATTATGTTTTGTAATCGAGTAGAAACAATTGGCATTCCACAGCTGATTCAACATTTTTCTTTTAACAGGAAGTTGCTTTAAAGAATAGACGAGAGCTGTATGCACTACCTCCTCCTCCCCAGTTCTACTCAAGCCTTATTGAAGAGATAGGAACTCTCGGTTGGGATAAGTATGACTATCTTAAAATATGTTTTGGAAATAAATTTGTTTACACATTTCAATTTAACATATTTCCAGGTTTAGCAGTTTATTTTAACCTTTTTTTAAAAAAACATTTCTGATAGACATTATAGTCCTGGAGAATATTAAAATAGAAATTTCTCTTTATGGTATAAAAATTGACATTTTGTATGACCTTCAGTGCTGTCTTAACTTACTATTTTTTTTTTTTTCATGAGATGGAGAAAGAGTAAGTTAGACTGTCTATAAACATAATGGGCACTTCAAATAGGCATAAAGAAGATTACGAAATTATGTTTTGTAATCGAGTAGAAACAATTGGCATTCCACAGCTGATTCAACATTTTTCTTTTAACAGGAAGTTGCTTTAAAGAATAGACGAGAGCTGTATGCACTACCTCCTCCTCCCCAGTTCTACTCAAGCCTTATTGAAGAGATAGGAACTCTCGGTTGGGATAAGTATGACTATCTTAAAATATGTTTTGGAAATAAATTTGTTTACACATTTCAATTTAACATATTTCCAGGTTTAGCAGTTTATTTTAACCCTGTTTTTAGTCAGGGTGTTTCATCTGATCTTATCATTGCTATCATTTAAGGGAGGAATGTCATAAATTGACTTACAAAATAAAATGCTAAATATAATTTGAGGAAAACCGCATTTAAATGTTCATATTAAGATGTTTTCACGGAAAATATAGTTATTTAAATGTTACTAATTTTAGCAACTTATAAAAATCATCTTTCTTCCAAAACAAATACATGACTTAAAAGAAGTCCATAGCTGAGTATACAGGTTGTTAAAGGTTCATCCATATGCCACTTGGGAAAAATCCAAGGTGATTTGCTTCAAACTCACTTGTTGAATTTAGCTCTCTTCTTAGTGCAATACTTTTTACTTTGAACTAAAACAACAGTATCGATATGCCAATTTAATTATTATTCTACTATTGTTAGTATTTTAGCATTCATTTATTATTTCAGCTTAGATTGCTTTATTATTAAGCTAAAAATGATTTAGATATGTGAATAAGAATGTAGAATTTTTTTACCACTAAGTTTTTCTGAATATGCATACAACATCTTTATTAATTTTTTTTTTTTCTGTTTTCTATGAGTTGGGTTTCTTTTTTTCTTTCTTTTTTTTTTTAAAGCAGCTTTCACCACCTTTTTTTTTTTTTTTTTTTTTTTTACGGGAGGTTTTTTTGTTTAGGGGTTCTCTTTTTTAATAGATTTTTGGCTATAGGGTGCGTGCGCTCGCCAGAGAGACAGAGACAGACAGACAGAAAGCGAGAAATCACCCTCCCCCGGGGGGGGATGGCCATGCTGCAATCCTTTTTCCATTCTCCTCTCGGGATCTTGGGCATGCCTGGTGTGAGTTTAAACCACCAGGCCCGGGACGCGAACTGCGGTCAACTACGTGGGAGTCCAGCGACATAGCCACCACGATAACTGCTGGTCCCTATGAGTTCGGTTTCTGATGGTTAGTCTAAAAAGAAGCAGAAAATCAAATAGCCATTTAAAAGAAAAGAAACATATCTTTTTGAAGTGTAGAGTATATGTCCTTTAATGTATTTTATGCTATTACTTCCTGTTAGCTGAAAATAACTAGAGATGAGACATAAACATGTCTTAGAATCTCTACTTCTTGCCTTATAAATTGGTTTCTGGGAGTGATAAAAATGTAATTTGTTAGAGAAAGAAGTAGGAGTCTTTTCTTTTGCAAATACTTCTTTGTATTTCCCTATTATTCATTACAAGCTTTTTACTTAGAGAATAGTTATCCCTCTTATCCACAGATCAGTTTTTTTCTCCTTTATTTCACCATCAAATTTGAATGAGCAGGCTATACCTCTTTTGGTATACTTCAGCTCAGAGACAGGTTTCCCTTCTTCAGGCATGTACTTTGTTAACCTTCTTAATTTTTAACAAGTACTTCTGTTTTCCTGTTTAACAGGCAAAGTGTGAGAATCTATACTTGGAATCCATGTGTGTTTATACTGTGGGTTCTTGCCTCAATTATAACTCCACATTCCAACCATCAAAACCTTACACTATTATTTGCAATCATAATTTTAGTATCACTATACATGGACTGCTTAAAGTCTGTTTAATAAATTTATTTTATATATATTCTGAATTTTTTCCTTGGATCTGAAAACCAAACTGCATTGTTTTGGTCTCTCGTATAATTGCTCTTAAGGATGCCACTGACTTACATCAAGGAATTTTTGTATGAAACAACCTTAGGAAATACATTAGGATCTGTTAACCAGGAAAACAATTTTTTTTTCCCCTGCACTATCGGATTAGCTCTGATCTCAAGTAAAACTGATTAGAAGTTAGTATAGCAAGCATATTATCTTTAGTCGATTTTGTGAGTATTTCAATATTTGGCTTTTTATATATCATACACTTTAAAAAGAGACTCTTTATTAGATTAAAAAGGTTCATTATTATTCTTAGTCTGTTAAGAGTTTCTTTTTTATTCTTAGTTTTCTGAGAGTTTTATGAATACATGTTGAATTATCTCACATACATTTTAACCTCATTGAGAGGATCATATCATTTTCTTTCACTTGTTTTTTTGCTGATAATATAGTGAATTATCATGATTTTTTGTTTTTAAGTTGCCAGGGGATGCATGCATTTGCTGGAGAGACAAAAAGAGAAAAGTGAGTAGAGGAAACACGTCCCTCACAGCCCAGTGAGGCATGATCGTACTACCATACCTTCTCCTCTGTTCTACCTTCCTGTCAGGGTTTTGGGCACACACACTTGTACCTGGCATGTGGTTCAAGCTGCTGAGGCTGGGATTTGAAGTGCAATTGGCCCTTTGGGATTTCTGGCTCCCTTCACCTCTGTGGAGCTGGCCCTACTAATATTGTTATTTATTTCATTTTTAATTTGCTGTTTTACTTTGTTGTTTTATACTTTGTCCTAGAGGGGACAGAATGAGAGAGAGGGAAAGTAAGAAAGCACCCCCAGGGAAGATGGTCATGTCAGTTCTTTATCCTCTACTCTCTTCTCTTGATTTTGGGCATGCATGCACATGTGCTCTGCATGTTTTTCAAGTTGTTGAGTCTGGGATTTGACCTGCACAGTCGACCATGTAGGATCTAACCACCTTAACTGCCATGCCACTAGCTGTTCTGTCTACTAATATCCTTTGGAATACATTCTTTCTTTTCTTCTGTCCTGTAGGCAAACACGAAGTATCCTAATTGAACTGCATCATCAAGTTGCTAGCCATGAGTTGTTTCTTGTTGAATGTATGGGTGCACTTACCAGCTCTACACTTCTACTCACCAAACATCAGTAATGAGTGAATAGCAGCAAAATGGAACTTACATTAAGCAAAAGCAAACTACACTTTGAGCAGAAAACTCTAATTTTCTCTTTTTTTTCAATTAGCAGGAAAATATTTGCATGAAGTTGTAATTTGATAGTTCACCTTAGAGAAAATAATGTGAAGTGACTTTCTACATTATCAATTTCTTGATCAGGGCTCAGCAGGTATAAACATTGGGCTGAGGACTTTATTCTTTCTCTCAAACAAAACAAAGTAAGCAGAGGACAGATATAATTGTAAATAATTGTATGTCCTAGGTTTTCTGACCATGTATGTTTCTGGCAAATGTTCTTAATGAGCAGATAATTTTTTTTGTGTGTGGTGTATTTGTGTGTTGTTTTTTCTTAGACAGTGTCTTACAGGGATTTAGTATCTTTCAATCCTACTGCCTCAGCCTCCAGAGTAGCTGTGACTACAGGTGTCTCTCACCATTCCCAGATTTTTTTGATTTTTGAGGGCGAGTTAAGAATGAAACCTGGATCTCCCATGTGGCCTCTGCCTGCCAAGTGGTAGCATCTAATTTGCGCTACTGTGGCTGGGCCAAGACTAGATAACTTCTTTTTTTTTTTTTTTTTTTGAGAGGCTTTTGCTATAGGGTGGGTACGCTTGCCAGAAAGACAGAGAGAGAGAGAAAGACAGAGAGAGACAGAAAGCGAGAAATCACCCCCCAGGGGGATGGCCATGCCACAATCTCTTCTCCCCCATTCTCCTCTTGGGATCATGCGCACGCACACACACATGCCTGGTGTGAGTTTAAGTCACCAGGTCCAGGACTCGAACTGTGGTCAGCTACATGGGAGTTCAGTGATATAGCTGTTACGCTAACTGCTGGTCCCAAGACTAGATAACTTCTAAGAAAAGAATCATACAGTCACTTTTATTTGCCCAGTTTTTATGTAATTGTCTCTGGATTACTCTGGTTTGTTCCCTGAGTATAGTTGGCATCTTCCGAGATAGTTGTCTTATCTTTTTCTGTTGCTCACTCTGTTTTAGCACATGCAAGTCAAAAGTTGGTCACTGATGCATTTGAGTTTTACAAGGAAAGTATTTACCACACTTGTACTAAGCATTTTTGGTACTTATTATTACGAATATTTACTGTATATTTAGGCTGTAAGCTCCCTGTTAACTGTTCTTCATTGTTTTCCCTTGGCCATTCAGACTTCTATACCTAATAATCTTTCCTTAAATGTCATAAAAATGTTTAGAGACTGTAGATGATTTTTCTTCCTTAAAGGATTCACTTTTTGTTGCTAGACATATTGCTGTGGGGCCCAGATTGGTTCTGTGTAGGTCATCGTTTTTTTTTTTTTTTTTTTTGCCAGATTTCTTTCTTCTATGAGCAAGACAGACACACACACACACACACACACACACACACACACACACACACACTCACAGAGTTGAGTGGAGAGGCAGGATGCTATGATCAAGCCTCAGTCTGCTCTGAACCATGGACATACGTGTGCTTAATATTTTAGGGAGGTCTCCGAAAGTGAACCTGGAATCTGTCCCTGTCAGCCTCAAAGAGCATTGTGTTTTATTTACCTCTGTACCATCTTGCAGCCCCCTAGGGTTGTAGTTTTTGTAGGGATTAGTCTACCTCTAATTCTGCTTTCCTTCTCCTAAGGTATAAT